ATATATATATATATATATATATATATATATATATATATATATATATATATATATATATATATATATATATATATATATTTTATATATATATATATATATATATATATATATATATATATATATATATATATATATTATTTTTATATATATATATATATATATATATATATATATATATATATATATATATATATATATATATATATATATATATATATATATATATATATATATATATATATCTATATCGTGTCTCAAAAAATCTAAGCAAAATTAATTTCAGAATTTTGTCAAAATACAGCTAACTTTTTATATATTTCGTAATTAGATGGCAAATAGATGAATGATTGTATGATTTATATATATATATATATATATATATATATATATATATATATATATACACACATTTTCCACGTGTATTTATATCACTATAGCTGCATCTCAAATGGCACACTATTCACTCATGCACTATGTACTTATGCACTTACACACTCAACAGGATAGTGTATGTATGTAGTGTTGTCCCAAATGGAGCACTAATGTTTTTTCACTAAGCGGAAACTCAAACCGTTTTCCTAATGATGTTTGACGGTTGCCAAATCAGTGAAATAAATGACCAGACTACCAAATAATAGCTGCCATGAGTATAACCGCATTCACCATCAGGAGGTGCTATAATCACTCTAATCACTTGCTTTCACCATCTAAAATAAATAAAGTTATCCAACATGTGCGCCAGATAGCTCCGCCCCTTCTGCTACGTAAGCAAACCTGCGGTCGTTGAGTGCGTGAAGTGTCCATCATAACACACTTCTGTTTACCGGCTGAATGAGTGCATCATCCGGGTAATTAAAGTGCACGTATTATTTTTATTTTTTAGTGTGAACACACTACTTACACTATTTATACTACAAAATGGCGTAGAATAGTGCATAAGTATGCGATTTGGGACAGAGCTTAATGTTTTTTTTACTAAGCGGAAACTCAAACCGTTTCCCTGATGATGTTTGACGGTCGGCAAACGCCACATTTTTACGCAGGAGATGGCCTTCCATCCGCTTCATCCACACACACTCATACACTACGAACAATTTAGCCTACCCAGTTCACCTGTACAGCATGTCTTTGGACTGTGGGGGAAACATGCAAACTCCACACAGAAACGCCAACTGAGCCAAGGTTCGAACCAGCGACCCAGCGACCTTCTTGCTGTGAGGCGACAGCCCTACCTACTGCGCCACTGCCTCGCCACTGTACAGTATATATATATATATATTTCAAATATGAATTTCATTTAAATTCTTTTTAAAGAAAATAAATAAATAAATATATAAATGAAAATATGATAGAGAGTTAGCATTTATCCACCAAAGAATAAAACAAATATTAAAGAAACTATATACATATATAAAACAAAAAATACCACTTTTTTTGTGTTTTATTTTATTGATTGATTTTCATTTCAATTTTTAAACTAAATATGTAGTAAAAATAATTATGCAAAAAACTGTTTCCCAGTGATGGGTTGCAGCTGGTAGGGCATCCGCAGCATAAAACATATGCTGGAATAGTTGTCGGTTCATTCCGCTGTGGCGACCCCTGATTAATAAAGAGACTAAGCCGAAAAGAAAATGAATGAATAAATGCAAAAAAACTAGAAGTATTTCTACTCCATATTTACACACTTTTCTAATACTTAATGTTGTTGTTTTATAAATACACAATTACTTCTTTCATTTTAGATGGTATTTTTTATTTTTTATTGCTCTCATTTTGTAATAAAACATTATACACTTGTATTTGAAAATGTTGAATCTTTACTTGGTGGTGGCACCGTGGCTCAGTGGTCATCACTGTGGCCTCACAGCAAGAAGGTCGCTGGTTTCAGCCTCGGCTGGGTCAGTTGGCATTTCTGTGTGGAGTTTGCATGTTCTCCCCGTGTTGGTGTGGGTTTCCTCCGCGTGCTCCGGTTTCCCCCACAGTCCAAACACATGCGCTATAGGGGAACTGATCAACTAAATTGGCCGTAGTGTACGAGTGTGTGTGTGAATGTGAGTGTGTATGGGGGTTTCCCAGTAGTGGGTTGCACCTGGATAGACATCCGCTGTTTAAAACATATGCCAGAATAATTAGTGGTTCATTCTGCTGTGGTGATCTCTGAAATGGTGACTAAGCCAAATAAATGAATGAATCTTTATTTGACTGCATGATAAAACGTTAAGCCAAAACAAACATGTTCTTGCCTGTTTTTGTGAAATTCTCAAACAAATATGATGAACAACAGCCGAGAAGATCAAAATCTGAGAGTATTTTATTATCCACTGTTGATATGTTAAATGTAAATGTCATTGATAATCGTTACCTTTGATTTGCTGATCATTTTAATTTGAGCTGAGTTTATTTAATTGAATCTTAACTGACAGATTTGACCAATAAGCTTTAATCTGTTGGAGGCAGGAGGCGGAGCTTATTTCTGTGTTGATTTATTGTGTGTGTGTAGATTTTAATATATTTAAAATGTGGCATTAACTTAAATATTTCCTGCATTCTCCATTTAATAATGTGACAAACGTTCAGAGCGAACGCTGAGCAAACCTTATGGGAACATCGTCATTTCATCTCAGAGAGTGTGTGTTGTTTTTGTGTATATGGATTTACGGTGCCAGTATCATCTCTGAAATGACTTTTATCTGCATACACTCCTTTAAGTTCCTGTTTTTCCTCTCTAAGCGGACCAAAAATGATGATGGCATCTTTTCTTTTGTGCATCAGATGTCTTTGGTTTATCAATATTTGTCTTTGTGGTCCATTTCATTTCATGTATTAGAATATGTTGAACATGAGAATCATATTTATTAACAATCTTACCGCATAGTAGATCAGCAGTGATTTATTTTTGATATCATTGTCATTATTTTCAGTAATTGGGAGATAATGTGTTTGTGCAATAACATTTCTGCTTGTCAGTAACCAGAATTAAAACGATCTATGACTTTTTGTGTGGAGATAACCATAGTTTTTCTAAGGAAAATGAGCTGGTTTTGTGTTTAATGGAGGCGTTTCAAACATTTGCTGACGTTTTTGAGCTCTAGAATCTATCAATCTCTGCCATAGAAATCAGTGTTTATTCAAAACCCAATGTTCACACACAGTTTACAGTGTAAATCTTCACAACCGGACATAAAGCTCAGCGATCTTTGAAATGACTACAGCGAAGCGGCTGCTTTTCGGAGAAAAAACAAATCTGTAGAAAGTTTTTTTTTTGTACATCAGGGATGAATTAAATGATTTAACATGAAAACATCGACTGATTTCTGTCTCTTTTTATTCCTTGAATGAAAAATCAGCCCCATTTCACAAGGAAACGTAAATATTTTAGGTAAGTATTGTCAGAAAAGTGGTTAATTCATAGGATTTTTAATAGGAGGATATTTCCACAAACCACACCACTAATAAATTAGACCAGTGTTTCTTAAACTGTGGTACGTGGGCTTACTTCTAGTGGTACGCGGAGGAATCTCTGAGTAATGAATAAAAAAAAAAAGAATACAATGTTAATCATTTGATGCGTACGATAACACCAATGTGATCAGGATTGGCTGTTCTCTAAAACCTACGATCAAAGCGCTGTGCTTAGAATGTTTACTTTAGTGCATTGCGTCATCAGCTGCTAAATGGGGCAACCATTACTGCATCCAAAACGGTGAAAAACCTTGGAGTAACGATTGATGACCAACTAAACTTCTCTGACCACATTTCTAGAACTGCTCGATCTTGCAGATTCGCACTCTATAACATCAGAAAGGTCTGACCCTTCCTATCTGAACATGCAAGCTCAACTCCTTGTTCAAGCTCTTGTTCTCTCCAGACTGGACTATTGCAACTCTCTACTAGCCGGGCTTCCAGCTAACTCTATCAAACCTCTTCAGATGCTTCAGAACGCAGCAGCACGAGTGGTCTTTAATGAATCTAAAAGAGATTGTCAGAGACTAAATAGTTGAGTTGTTAGTGGTTTCTTGAAGACAGCGAGTGACTCTGCTGTTCTGATGCAGTTAGGGAGTTCATTCCACCAGCTGGGCAGATTGAGCTCGAGAGTTCAGGAAAGTGATTTCTTCCCTCTTTGGGATGGAACCACGAGGCGACGTTCATTCACAGAACGCAAGTTTCTGGAGGGTTAATAAATCTGCAGAAGTGAGAGCAGATAAGGAGCAAAGCCATAAGTCGCTTTGTAAGCAAACATCAGAGCTTTGAATTTGATGCGAGCAGCAACTGGCAGCCAGTGCAAACGGATGAGCAGCGGAGTGACATGTGCTCGTTTAGCTCCATTAAAGACCACACGTGCTGCTACGTTCTGAAGCAGCTGAAGAGGTTTGGTGTTGGATTTTGGTGTCTAATTTATTTTCCATTAGTGTTGAAAGCTAAAAGATAAAAAAACAATTACAATGCATGACTGGTTGCCTTACGTTTTACATGTCTGAATCAAATCAAGTCATTTTTACTTGAACTACATTAACCTACACTATAAAAAATTGTTTGCTTTACTTAAAAAAAGTCTTATAATCAGACACTGATTGACGTAATTCAGAACATTTAAAGATTTTATTTGAAACATACGATACAAAGAAATATGGAAATATTGGAATACATTTAACCAAAACAGAGGCATGGTAAAAACAAAGCAAAAACTTCTTGAGATGTAGGATATACAGAATAACCATATTTAATTGGTACTGGAAACTGAAGATTATTAATTTAAAAAGTACATAAAAAGAACCCCTTCTACTATAAATCTGAATGTTCCTATATCAGGATGTTTACTAGAGAAGCAAAACAATTCTATATTTACTACAGTTTTCAGAAAATAAATCAAATGTCTGTCATTAGGCTCAGAAAAATCATTCGATGACTGATATTTCACACAAAAATATGTATATAATTTTGCAAAATGACCTAATTTTATTTATACTGTCTGAAATGCTGAGTTGTTGTGAGCCAACATTGGGCCAAATATGGTCAAACCCAACAAATGGGTAAAGAAATGTGATTTTAATTGAATTGAAAACAAATAATCAAGCATTGCGTTTGTCACTTTGCTTCTAAAGTAAACATATTTTCAGACGTTTGCATTAAAATCTCAACAACAATGTAAAGAAAACTATTTTGCAGAGAAATACTGTACATATAAACTGACCGTATAAAACATATACCAGTTGATACACTAAAAATGCTGGGTTGTTGTAAACCAATGTTGAATATGTACATTTTTTAACACAACAGTTAGCTTGTAGCACCATAAAAAATGCCAAAGTAATAAAGTGTATTTATTTAGGGTTCAGATAATAATAATTTAAAGAAACAGGCATTTTTTTAATCAGTGTTGTCAGATAACAGATTAAAAAACAAATTACAAAGTTAAAATAATTACTGGGTGCCTCACATTTTACATGCCGTACACAAGAATCAAATTAAACTTATGAATAATTGTAACTTAAATTAAACAAACACCGTACAAAATTGATTATTAAATAATAATAATAATTAATAATAATTTATTTCATTTATTTATAAAAGTGAGTAAACCCATTGCCTTCAAATTAAGTGAATTATGTGCATAACTATAAAAAAAAAGTCGTCAACTTCCAAGTTACAGGTTGTGGGTTTCCTCCGGGTGCTCCGGTTTCCCCTACGATCCAAACACATGCGCTATAGGGCAATTGATGAACTAAATTGGCCGTAGTGTATGAGTGTGTATGAATGTTTTCCAGTACTGGGTTGTGGCTGGAAGAGCATCTGCTGCTTGAAACATATGCTGGAATAGTTGGCGGTTCATTCCACTGTGGTGAGCCCTGATTAATAAAAGGACTAAGCTGAAGGCTTTCATGTATCTGATCTTTCATGTATCTGATCAGAACACAAAGCAAACGTTCACACACGTCGTTCACACACAGGTTCATATATTACTACAGGAGGTCAAAGCTCGATGTTTTTGGGATTCGTCTGATACTGACGATCAGCGTCTGGTCAGAGGTCAGTGAACTGCTCACAGACAGCGGGTCCATGTCTGCTGGAAGCACAGACTTGTGGGTAAACCTGCCGGAAACACCAACATCTGATCCGCTCTGAAACAACACACACACACACACACACACACACACACACACAAATCAGAGTTTAACCTACAGTGGAGGTCAGAATTATTAGCCTTCCTGAATTATTAGTGGTGGTGCAGTAGGTAGTGCTGTCGCCTCACAGCAAGAAGGTTGCTGATTCGAGCCTCGGCTGGGTCAGTTGGCGTTTCTGTGTGGAGTTTGCATGTTCTCCTCGTGTATGCGTGGCTTTCATCCGGGTGCTCCGGTTTCCCCCACAGTCCAAACACATGCGCTAAAGGGGAATTGGGTAGGCTAAATTGTCCGTAGTGTATGAGTGTGTATGGATGTTTCCCAGAGATGGGTTGCGGCTGGAAGGGCTGTGTAAAACATATGCTGGTTAAGTTGGCGGTTCATTCCGCTGTGGCGACCCCGGATTAATAGAGGGACTAAGCCGGAAAATGAATGAATGAATGAATTATTAGTGGTGGCACGGTGGCTCAGTGGTTATCACTGTCAAGAAGGCCACTAGTTCGAGGACGGGCTGGGTCAGTTGGCATTTCAGCATGGAGTTTGCATGTTCTCCCTGTTTAAGCTTGGTTCACTCAGAAAATCAACTATTACTTCATAATCTCAGACACAGGTTTTCTCTGTGCTTCCTTCACATGCATGCGCATAACAATGACATCACACCAAACCACATGGTCTGTCACATCCTCCCATCCTGCTGTCTATATACATAACATTTTGTAACACTCCCCGTGTTGGCGTGGGTTTCCCCCACGGTCTAACACGTGAAGCGGCTCCTGGGTCCAAGCGCTCTATTCAACTAAGTGGGGAGACTCAAGAAATGGTAATAATAAACGTTTACGAAGCGATTTAATACTTTCAAAAATCCCGATCGCAGTATATATGTCCATGCCTAATATCCGATGGCCAGAAAGTGATTCATAGTTTTATAAATTGTTAAATTTTTGGTATTTGTTATGCAGCAAGCCCAGAGATTGTTGTGTACACTATGACTTTATCTAAAATGAACTTTAATGTGTGATAGGAATAAAACGTGATCATAACCGAATGATTCCTCCACTCAAATGAGTGGCGACTTGGACCCGGAAACAGTATACATACGTCATCACTTAACAAGCTGGTAGGGGAATTGATGAACTGACCTCTGGTACATAAGGGACTAAGCATGGGAAAATGAATAATTGTAATTTCTGTTTAACTGAGAGATTTTTTTTCAACACATTTCTATAATAGTCCTGTATATTTAATATACGGTTGAAGACCTGAATTATTATTATTATTAGCCCCCCTGTATGTTTCGTTTAACGGAAAGATCGTTCAGCACATTTCTAAACATAATAGTTTTAGTGACTTATTTCTAATGCCTGATTTCGGTCACTTTACAATAAGGTTCATTAGTTAATTAATGCATTTACTGACATGAACAAACAATGAACAATACATTTACTACAGTATTTGTTGATGCTAGTTAACGTTAGTTAATGAAAATACAGTAGTTCATTGTTAGTTCATGTTAACTCATGGTGCATTAACTAATGTTAACAAGCACAGACTTGGATGTTAATAATGCATTAGTAAATGTTTAATTATGATTGATAACTGCTGTACATGTGTTGTTCATGATTAGTTCATGTTAGTAAATGCATTAACTAATAAACCTTATTGTAAAGTGTTACCCTGATTTCTTTTCTCTTCGCCATGATGACAGCACATAATATTTGCTTAGATATTTTTAAGACACTAGTATTCAGCTTAAAGTGGCATTTAAAGGCTCAACTAGGTTAGTTAAGGCAAGTTAGGGTAATTAAGCAAGTCATTGCAGGCCTGTAGCCAGCCTGGTGAAAGGGGTGATTCTTTTTATCTCATAAAGTGGACCTTTTGCAGTTATTTGCATCATTGTGAGGTTTAAATATTGCATTTTTATGACATTTTGAGCACTTTTTTGTTTAAATAGCTTGTCGGATGGTCATCAGAACCAAACTTTTTGATGTACTAAACATTTCCTTAAAGATTTTGAAAAAACAAACTTTAAAATAGTGGGAGGTGGGTTTTTTTAAACCACCTGAACCCCCCCCCCCTGGCTACCGGCCTGCATTGTATAACAGTGGTTTGTTCTGTAGACCAGTGGTTCTCAAACTTTTTTCATCAAGTACCACCTCAGAAAAAAATTGTCTCTCCAAGTACCACCAAAATGAGCAGTATTGAAATACAGTAGCGTAGTAGGCCCAGTAAAGCAGCTACAACTCTGCACAGTTAAAAAACCTGGCAGATTACCTCAGAAATATTGCTTATATATAATATATGGCATATTATATACATAATTTTTAATAAATTTTGAATTATTTGTAGCATGTACTTGAGATATGTCATTGCATTCATGTACCACTAAAAGGAAGCCCGCGTACCACTAGTGGTACACGTACCACAGTTTGAGAACCACTGCTGTAGACAATCCAAAACAAATAGGGCCCTATCATACACCCGGCGCAATGTGGCACAATAGTCTTTTGCTACTTTCAGCTCAGCGCAAGGGTCATTTTGAGGCGTTGCGCTACGCTGTTTAAATAGCAAATGCATTTGCACTCAAATGTGCGCCCATAGGCGTTCTGGTCTAAAAAAGCAGGTGTGTTTTGGCGCGTTGCTATTTTGAGAAACTGTAAATAGTCTGATCTATCTAGAAAGTCGGTCTATTGTCTGGCGCAAAGTGCGCCTGGCTTACACACTACACACAAGATGCAGAGCAATACGCAAATACCTTTACATATGAAAAATATATAATATATTAAGGATATATATATAAGATATAAATATAAATGATTAAAATATTACAAAACATATTATTTTCTAGCCTACATGAATTTAAAAACCACTGCCGTCATACTTTCTTCTTTATCTCGGGAGGCTTTTTCAGTTTAAACAATTTGCTTTTGTATAATGTTATTATTATTAGCAGTATTATTTATTATATCCATATTTATATTTGTTTTATTAAAAACAAGCTTAGATTTGCCCACCTGTCAGGTTTTAGACCATATGGGGCATGGCAGGTGTATTTGGAAATAACTCAGTATTTTGAGCACACTTTGTTATTATTGTTCATTTATTCGTTTGCTGGACATTAGAACTGAATTTAGAAATAGTTTTGAAACAAATCTTTGCGCTTAACAAACTAAATTAATTATTTATAGGCTAATTGATGTCTGTGCAGGAAGGTTTCCCTATCCACGAGAGCGAAAGCGAAAGTGAACTTACTTTGCGTCATGTTAATAGCAATGCGCTTATGGTGAGACGCAGCTGGCTCTTTAAGGGAATGGGGGATGAGACTCTGATTTGTTTATTCTCAAAACACACCTATAACTCATTAAGAAAATAAACTCAACCCTTTTAGACCATGTGTCACGGCGCAAAGCGGATTTTCCCGTCCTTAAATTAGCAAAAACTCATTCTGACACGCCCTGAAAGCGTTTGCGCCCGGCGTTTTGCGCTCTGCGCATGGACTGTCAAAACAGAGCCCATAGTGCTTAAGGGGGCTAATAATATTGACCTTAAAATGGCTTTAAAACAAATAGGAAGTGCTTTTATTCTAGCCGAAATAAAACAAGTAAGAAAAAATACTATAGGAAATACTGTGAAAAATTCCATGTAAATTATGTAGTATTCCAGTCAAACTAAAATAAATAAGTCTTCCTCCTGAAGAAAAATATAATATAAAATACTGTTCAGTAAAACATCACTCAGGAAATATTAGTAAAATAATAAAAATGTGACAGGAGAACTGGAAGAACTGCGCATTCAGTAAATTATTCATGTGATATACTGTACACTGAACATACTGCGTCCCAAAAATAGCCCTTAAATGCTGCTCTGCATGAATATCCCATGAGCTCATACACACCTTCTCTGCGTGAATAACCACACACTGATTATACGCCAGCACGACCACTTCATGAGGCTCGAATCCGCTGACGTCTGCCGACAGGAAGTAGTTTTCCCCCACCGCTCTCACCACGCCCACTTCGGAGCCAGCTGGAGCACAGAAAATAATGCAGATCAGAAGTTAATTAATGTTAAATACCTTTCCTCCATTGCAAAACATGTGACTGATGTAGCTTACATGAATAAATACTGTTCATTGTTTATTCATCACATTAAATAAATAGCGCTCCTCGCTTACTCTTTATGTGGTCTCCGAGGCTCCAGTCTACCTGGTTTCTTCCGGGGATGTACTTCTGGTCTTCATCATAACCTCCAATAGACTGTCGATCTCCCTGGTAAACTAGTAAAAGATTCACGATCAAAATGACACACCGAGGTCATCAAAGCGGGTCAGCGTCTGCTCAGAATTGAGTGTGAAGATGCCATGCCCTATTAAATGAGAGAGGTCTGGCTGCAGACTCGGTGCAGATGCAATCTGAGCTGCATGCTGTGCTTTTTAATGGGCTCACCTAACCCCACCCCTCACAGTGACGTCACTAGCTCCATTGTGTATGACATTGCATATCTTACAGATGCAGTCTCAGCTTGCATCATAAAGGCTGCATCCAGATAATATTGCATTAAAGGGTCACGAACCACCAAAACACATGTGTTTGAGCTGTTGACAGTCGTATATGTGTCCCACACTGCTAAAAACACTATTAGGACACCTATATTTCACTAAAAAGTGTAAATTGGTTGTTTTTGCGTTATTTCAAGCAAATTCGTACTTCCGGTTTGAAACGAATTTTTGAAGCTGCGTCACGGTCATGACATAATAGCGTGTATTCCAGCGTGCAGACTGGACGTCTGTGCCAGAGTGTGTCTTATTACGTCTTACAGTGTGCTGCATTAATGCATGAGTAAGGCTTGGTTCAAACCAATCAGCGCGCTCTATTGTGCAACTTCATTAATATTCATTACTGTCACAGTGTTTAGACGACAGAGACGCCACGTTGTGTTGGCAAAACAAGCGTGAAGTGTTGCTTTTATAGTTTGCTGCAGTTCAGTTTCGTTTTCATTTTCTCTCTGTGAGAGCGCAGCTGGAGTCACGTGTGGATTAACAGTGTACGCGACGCTCGACAACAATAACTTACGTGTCTAAGGAGGATTATTGTTTACCTGAGAGCTGTTCTCATCTGCAAACGCTGAGATCCGGATTCGCTTTAGTCTCCTCTTCATAAAGACGCGGCTCTAGTTGCTGGTGATTGTCCTGTCTCTACAGATTTGGTGAGCGACCAGTACTCTTTGTTTATTCAGTTTGTTCGTATCGAACTAAGTTAACTATTGCACTGAGTGTAAACATGTTAGCACCACAGCCAAACTTTAACCTCGTGTAGGGTTTTCACCGCATTTAGTGACAGGAATAACACACGCGGCTTTCTGACACTACCTGCCGTGTGCATCTAAGTTTCCGTGAAATGCGGAGGGGTTTTTCTCTCTCATTCGCCGTGCGGTATCAAACATTGCATGAAAAATACACGCTTAGAGCAGTTCCTCGAATCAAATATCTTGTTTGTCGCGAGGGACATGACTGAATTCCCTGAATGAAAGAGCCAAACTGCAGTTAAAGTCCACCATTTAATAATTTGGCAAATAATTCGACTACAGATGTCCATGTAAACACAGTCACTTTCTCCCCTGTGTGTGTGTGTTTTGCCTCTGAAACTCAGCATGCCCAAATAGACACTCCCACACCCTCCCACTTTAGTTCCTCCGACACTCCCCCCTAAACAGAGCTGGACACGCCCACTTTTCTGACATTTTCCAAAGTAGAGGTGTGAAAACACCCTGCTGAAACGAGGTGGTTTCATGGCCCACTAAATGGTTAGTGTAAATACAAGATGTGTGTGAAGTTTCAGCTGTAAATAGCACACGAATAATATTTTCTAACTCTCTGAAACGGACCTTTTTAGGCGTTGATCTTAATTGTGGTGTTTTGGTGACTGTCGCTTTAAATTCAAATGAGTGCTCTTTTCAAAAGAGGGCGGAGCTACAAATGCCTGTGTGTCAACATAGTGGCATATTCATAACAGGACTAACATCCTATGCTGATGAGGAAGAGATGGGCAACTGTGAGTGGGGCTATCCCAATCTGCTGACACGTACAAAGGGAGAATCAAAGCACTCCCCCCACTCACCATCACGAGAGTCATTCAGGTTACTGGGCACCACCATCTCTCAGGATCTGAAGTGGGACATTTACATAGACTCTATTGTGAAGAAAGCCCAGCAGAGACTGTACTTCCTTCGTCAGCTGAGGAAGTTTAACCTGCCACAGGAGCTGCTTGTGCAGTTCTACTCAGCTGTCATCCAATCCAACCTCTGCACTTCAATCACCGACTGGTTCTGCTCAGCTGCCAAAACCGACCTGCGTAGGCTACAGTGATTAGTCCGGACTGCTGAACGCATCACTGGCACTACCATTCAAGTTTCTTTCCTCAGGCTATCTACCTCATGAACAGTTAAATATCCTCCAACTTTGCAATAAATATCTGCAATACGTCTCATACGCACTTGTACACAGCACCTTACATCAATATACAATGCAATACTTTCTACATTCGCATTTGTACACAGCACCGTATAACCTGCATATTTATAACTAATCTGTACATACAACTCAACATCCAGATTTCTTGACTAACTGCATCTCTGTTTACAGTTTTTCTCAGTGGCTTTGGTGCATTTCTCACAGCACGAGTGCATTTCTGCACAACAGTTAATGCATTTCACAAAACAATTAGTAGAAACTGCAAAACCTAGATGATAACCTGCAAAAGCGCATCACATGCTCAAAATGGAGAGCTCATTCCTCAAAAGCAAGTATTGATGTCAATCAAAGTGTCAGTATCATCAAGATGAAAAGTCCTGACACCATTGTTTATGAACACGATAGTCAAATGGCTTAGTCATGTCTTCATTATGACAGTTTACTCTGTACATTTTTTCAATGGAAAAAAGTCAGATTTTGGTGACACGTCCTGAAAATGCTCAAGACAGCACTGTATACTGTTTGCACAGCCATTTGAAAACTACAGTAAAGTGAGACATCACTGCATTGAGTGAGGTATCTGAGTACAAGACACTGAATATGTATGTTTCACATTTTTACTGCATTTGCTCCTTACAATCCTAATTTACTCTCAGCATTGTGCAAAAGAATAAACACCCCCTTATTTACAACAAACATACACTCCTTTAGGTAGAGCAGCGCACAACTGTACACAATATTGCAGAACATATTGGAACTGAGCCTACAACACACACAGGTCTGTAAATCATCAAATTGTTCAATTTTAAAGACATTTTCAGGAAAATAAAGATTACAATTTGTTTTATAAAATTAGTTTGACAGATTTTGACAGCTAGTTCACAATTTTTGTATGTAATGACTGAAGTAATGAAATGAGGACTGTTAGTTTTATATAGAATGACTATTCAGCATTTACAAGTTTAGTTCATTTTGACTGACATGACATAAGCAAATGATAATGTTATAAACAGCAGAGAGTTGTATTAAAGCAACTGATGCATGTCCGAAAGCATTCACAATTTGTTGAAAGGAATGAGAAACTGCTACTAGGATGTGCACAAATAACTAACTGTTTTGGGAAATGCATGACCTGTTGTGCAAATGTGAATAGTGTAGTGAGAAATGCACCAAAGCGACTGAGAAAAACTGTAATGTTTATCATCTTTTTTTCTCATATTTATTTTGTGTTGTCACTCGTCACTTTATGTACACTGGAAGCTTCTGCAGCCACAATTCCTTGTGTGTGTGAAGCACACTTGGCAATAAAACTGAATCTGATTCTGAAAGTGTTTCTGCAGACTGCTTTGATCAAGTCTGATTATAAAAAATGCAATCAATAGATTTTGACTATTAAAGGCTGGATATTCACCTTATTCTCCGCAGACGAGCGGGCGCTGCCATTTGAATCTTTTTGGCTCGAGACTTCCGGTCTCATTCATTTCCATTCATTTTTTGAGGTTAAAAACTGCTCGTTACGCTGCTTGATGTTGCAATTTGATATTTCCTTATTATTTTATTCTACTTGGTCTGTATAGTCATGCAAACATTTGTTTGTAGAGCGAGTAGTTTGACCGTTTTCTGCCGTTTATCATTCCTAGTCATTTCTCCCACAGGCGACTGAATCAGAAGTTCTGAGACAATCGCGAAAACAGGCGCCCTTACGCATTTTAGAATAAGGTCAATAGTCCCACACTGTGATTTTTGCATAATTAGAGCCATTTTAAAAGCATTTGATTACTTGGGTAAGCCATTAGTAATGGGTCGTTCATGAACGATTCGTTCATTTTGAACGAATCTTCAATGTGATTCGGGAACTACGAGTCCTCTCAGGGAGTGACTCGTTCATCCAGGCATGCGCACATTTGTGCAGGTGGCATCGTTCATTTCAAGTCTTTTGAGTCGTTCATCACGGAAAGGCAGAAGCCAATCATATGCGTTTAGAGCCGGATAAAGAATTGATCCGTTCATCTCTCGAATCCTCTATCGGGTCTGAGTCAAGCTGCAGTCACATTAGAGTTTGAGCAATGCGATTTTTCTGTCGTGCAGCGCTGTGAAAAGGGGCGGGAATAAACAAGATTGTTAGGCATTAAAAATGCGAGCGATCGCTCCATGTTTTAAATTTCTGTCCAGACAGGTCATGTTTTGATCCTCGATTGGTCTCACACAGTCAATCGATGCGATTTCGCAGGTCAGAGTTCACCAAGCTTGAACTTTGCATCGCAGCAACCTTGACGCATGACCCTGCGTTTCGGGTCTGACGCATTTGTGTGCGTATGAAGGGAAGTCTATGGGGGGAAAAGCCCAGTGTGATCGCAGTTTCATTCGTTCCTCACGAGCCAATCATATGTGTTTAGAGCCGGAAAAAAGAATGAATCCGTTCATCTCTCGAGTCCTCTATCATGTCTGAGTCAAGCTGTGGTCACATTAGAGTTTGAGCATGCGATATTCTGTCGTGCAGCGCTGTGAAAAGGGGTGGGAATAAACAAGATTATTAGGCATTAAAAATGCGAGCGATCGCTCCATGTTTTAAATTTCTGTCCAGACAGGTCATGTTTTGATCCTCGATTGGTCTCACGTAGTCAAATGATGCGATTTCGCAGGTCAGAGTTCACCAAGCTTGACCTTTGCATCGCAGCAACCTTGACGCATGACCCTGCGTTTCGGGTCTGACGCATTTGTGTGCGTATGAAGGGAAGTCTATGGGGGGAAAAGCCCAGTGTGATCGCAGTTTCATTCGTTCCTCACGGGCCAATCATATGTGTTTAGAGCCGGAAAAAAGAATGAATCCGTTCATCTCTCGAGTCCTCTATCAGGTCTGAATCAAGCTGTGGTCACACTAGAGTTTGAGCATGCGATATTCTGTCGTGCGGCGCTGTGAAAAGGGGTGGGAATAAACAAGATTGTTAGGCATTAAAAATGCGAGCGATTGCTCCATGTTTTAAATTTCTGTCCAGACAGGTCATGTTTTGATCCTCGATTGGTCTCACGTAGTCAACTGATGCGATTTCGCAGGTCAGAGTTCACCAAGCTTGAACTTTCCATCGCAGCACCCTGCGAAACTTGACGCATTCGCGTGCGTATGAATGGAAGTCTATGGGAGGAAAAGCCCAGTGGGACCGCAGATTCATTCGTTCCTCACGGGCCAATCATATGTGTTTAGAGCCGGAAAAAGAATGAATCCGTTCATCTCTCGAGTCCTCTATCGCAATGGTTCTCAAAGTGGGGGTCGGGACCCCCCCGAGGGGTCGCGGGACAATGAAGGGGGGGTCGCCTGGTGGTTTCCAAAAATCTATTTATTTTTATTAAACCATAAGAATTACCATATTTTATCCATAACCTACTGAAGAGAAAAAAAAGCCGTTTATGCCGTATATAGTTACTGTAGTAGCTTATAGTTACTACTTCTATTGGATTGCAACTCCTGGGGTAATTGCATTGTATTAAAGACACAGCAATAGCGTCAGATGCAGCAGATTTCATAACACCCGGTTAAACTTTGTGGCCCATTTACAGCTCTCATACATTAAAAAAATTAAAAGAAGACTGAATGAACTTGGGTCCATTGGTGTGTGTGTGTGTGCGCCATTGCATGCAAGGTTTCTGTATTTATAACCACCTCAGAGTATATTGGGGGTCGTGAGTCACTGGCATTGTCATTTTGGGGGTCGCGGCCTGAAAAGTTTGGGAACCCCTGCTCTATCGGGTCTGAGTCATTTGTTCCTCACGAGCCAATCATATAGTTTAGAGCCGGACTAATGGTTCCTATCAACTCAGACTGTGTGCATTGGTTAAGATTATATGTGACTGTCAGTGTAACGTGAACGAACTACTGACATTTGAAGACATGAAGAGGTGAGCTGAGCAAAGAGACAGCAATACCTTCATAGCCAAAGGAGCAGGTAAACATTGAATGATTATTTTCTCCTTCTTATATTCTACTTATGACTTATTTGTCATGTGATCAACCTTTTGGGCCGGTTGTAGATGTGTTTGGAAGCAATTCGTAACATTTTAATAATATTTTGGCCAATTGAACCAAATGAACGAAATGACTCGAAAAAAGATTTGTTCATCTCGATGAAAGAGACTCCAAGATCCGAGTCAGTAAAAAGATCCGAACTTCCCATCACTTTAAGCCATAAAAGACTCTAAATCAAGATGTTTACCGATAAAACAAAGAAAAGATGAATTGTTCCAACCCATATTTTGCTTACTTTGTCAATGTTTTATCCAAATTTGGCTCCAAGCAACCCAGGATTTTAAAAGTGTAATACACTTGATTACCCTGATAACTTTCAGGTTTCAAATCAACGTTAACCCATCACTGGCATCAGTGTATCAGATTGATACTAGCTTAACAAGATCAATATTTTAGTGTCAAATTAAACATGAATAATTCTGATCAACAATAATAATGACAAACAGTCCCTCTTCCCAACAGGGGAAACCAGCAGCAATGGAGAGTGCATGATTATATGCTGTCATGGCTTTGCATTCAATAAATGTCCTTACAATGAAAGTCAATGAAGCAAAAACAGCCCCAAACATAACGAAAGGGGAGTCAATCTGCCCAGTGTACTGTTGAATTTTCAAAGCATTTCCCCAAAATATGTCAAAATAAGATTTGTCACCTTAAATAATTCCAACAGAGAAAGTTGTGGCCGAATTAAGACTTAAAATCAGCCCAGAGTGGATGAAAATGCAATAGTATCTGGATGCAGCCTTTATGATGCAAGCTGAGGCTGCATCACCCAGCGATGCAATGTCAGACTCAATGCACTCAATGGAGTGACGTCACTGTGTTAGGGGTGGGGTTAGGTGAGCGCATTAAAAAGCATTGGATGCAGCTCAGATTGCACTTCACCAAGTCTGCAGCCAGACCCCTCTCTGAAAATGACCCAACAGCACACAAAGGTTATTCATTCATTCATTATTGTTCGTTCGGCTTAGTCCCGTAATTACCAGAGGTCGCCACTGTGGAATGAACCGCCAACTATTCCAGCATATGTTTTACACAGCGGATGCCCTTCCAGCTGCAACCCAGTACTGGGAAACACCTATACACTCATTCACTATGACCTATTTAGTTTACCCAATTCCCCTATAGTGCGTGTGTTTGGACTGTGGGGGAAACCGGAGCACCCTGAGGAAACCCACACTAACAGAACATGCAAACTCCACATAGAAATGCCAACTGCCCAGTCGGGACTCAATCCAGCGACCTTCTTGCTGTGAGGTGACAGTGCTAGCCACATAAAATCTGACCTTGGTAATCAGTGAATGAGTCCGCCCAGGTCTGGTCCTGTCCGCTGCTGCTGATGGCGCTGATGTCCGTCTCCAGGTTATGTATTCTGGGACGTTCGGCTCCACTGAAGGACCTAACGGTGCTGGTGCTGACGCGGGACGACGAGTGCTGGAACGACGCCATGGAAATGCTGACTGACCGCTCGCCACCGGAGCATCCCTCATATAGAGAGCCGCAGCAGTGCATTGTGGGACAGCTGGACTCTCAGAGCGCTCCATACAAGGCCTTGCTCCGGGAGTAACGGTCAGAAAGATAAGACTCGGAAAACTGCTCCGGAAAGTTATCAGAAGGAGCACGCTGAGATAAAAATAAATCAGTCAAACAATCAGTAACGTCAGAACAGTGAGAGAAGCGTCTGTTTACTAGTTATACCCAGAGCAAACACAGCTGAAGATCAAATTATTCAACTATTTACAGCTCTTTAGTCAATTATTTAAATATCTGCCAAATGATGTTTAACAGAGCACTGAACATTTTTCACAGTATTTCCTATAATATTTTTCTTCTGGAAAAAGTCTTTTTTCACTCATTCATTCATTTTCTTGTCGGCTTAGTCCCTTT